TATATATATTTCTGCTACAAGATTTTTTGGCGTAACAGAAAGCACGTGGTGGCTGTTCTCCAAAACTTTCTACAAAATTGCTACTCCCACAGGCTAAGCCCTGCCAGAAGGAATGGACAAGGGGCGCTTCCAGTGCGAGATTTTTACCAAACCCCCAGGGGAAACCCTGGAAAATATTAATTGGTGCCCTTCTGTCATGGGCCATCTCCTGCATCTTGAGTCCTGCATTCAGTAACTTTTCCACCTGGCAGGATCCCAGTTGTCAGCCTACGTGAGTGGTCCCTGAGCAGGAGGTCCCTGGGGTCTGGATGAATCCTGAACGTTCACCACAATTCCATTCCCTGTCACCCAAATCAGGCTGTCAGGGTGGTAAAATACTCAGAAATAACATTGCGGTGCCCAGTGGAGTGTCGCTTTATTTTGGTAATGAAGGGACAGACCCCAGTGAAATCATAATACTGAGTTTTTTTCATTGGGGCTGTTCTGTAATATTGGCAGACAGCATTTGTCCTGCATTTTCATCACCACCTTTCTCATAGAGGGTGCGATATGTCATCCCCATAATATTCCTAGATGATCTGCTGGTCTTCCTCAACATTTTCACCACTTGTTACCAATAGCATCTTGTAAGACCTTTTTCACATCTTGTCGACACAGCTCTTTTTGCTGGTCAAAAATTTCCAGATTAGCTGTGTGCCATGGCAAGAATTGCTTTTTCTCCTTGAGCATCGTGTTGTCCACTTGTAACATTGGTTGTGGGCCTACGTAATTTTGATTTTCAGTGGTGCTTAAAAAAAATAATGGGGGAAATAATCTCTGTGACCCTCAAATTCCAATGATTGGGGAAGGCTGCTTAGTTTCATAAGTGTTTAAAGAGTTTATGAAATACAGACTGGGGTGTCTACACACAAGCTTACCACCTTGCACAGCTATTTGTGCATCCATTTTTTCTTTCAGAAGACAACATGGCCATCACAGCCCTCGGTGTTATGTGCTGTGAAGGTGTAACCCTGGAACTTTGTGTCTATAAACAGCCAAGCACAAGCCATGAGATGTGTGTCTCTCAAAATCTGATTCTGCTTCAGCTTTCCTTTCGGTCACGGTTTCATCCCATGGTACTTATGATTCGTTGGCAAAAATGCCATTTGGGATGTTTTTTCCTGTCCCCTGCCTACATTCCATATCCTAGAAAATACAGCCCTGCCCTGTTTTCTGATCGTGAGCGTGAAACACTGATGAAGCTTTAGGTTGAGGCTCAGTCTGTGGCGCGCATGACGTTTCTGACCTTCCCCTTTCTGAGGTTTTTCCCGTGTACGCTTTGCACTTCTCACATGAAACGATGGACCATCAGCCTGATGTTACCAGCTGGGGTCCCGTGCTGCTCCCACCCCTCCCCGGCCCTGCAGATCATCGGCAGCCAGGACACCCCATTCCCTGTCCCGCTGAAGGGGTCGTGTCCTCACCCTCCTGGCACTGCCGACGTTGTTTTTCATCTCCCTCACTTATTTTGCAGTGACCACCAGCAGATTTGGAAGCTGACAAGGTATTAAGGGTTTGGCAGATCAGTATCTTCTCCCTGAACCTTCCACTCCTGACCACCTAATTTTGGAGGACCTGCAAAGCCCATGGGACTGACAGCACACTGTAAGGATGTATATCCTTACCTATGGGTAAGGGTAACCTCACCTGTGGGTCCTTGACCTATGGGTCAAGACCTGGCCCCACTATCACGTTCCTAATGAAGCACACCGTGACCAGGCACAGCTTGCTCCAAGCCTGGAGAAACATGTGCCCACGGCAAAGGGGTTTTTTGGTCACACCGTGCCCTGGGTTTGTAGGATCTGCTTCTTGGGCTGAGGAATCAGGAAAAATTCAGAGCGTAACTTGTGACAATGAGTCTTTATTATAAATATTTGCTCCACTGGGCACATCCTGGCAGGGCAGTGACAACAGGAGGGACTTGGTGGCAGGCTGGTCCATGCTGCTGTGACACCTGGTCCCACCAAGGTACGGGCTGGCTCCACCTGCAGTGATGGCCCGCACTGCCCCGGGACCCTTTGGAGAAGTGCTGCGAGGGTCGTCTGCTCCCTCCAGAGACGGGGGGACTGGATGGGCGAGTCAGATGGTGGACAGCAGGAGGAGGATTTCATTTTTTCCTTTGAAGCCTTTTCATGGCTCTCTTCACCCAGGGCTTCTTAGGATTGGCACAGACCCCGTCACCAGTGGCAGCCACAATCCTGCAGCGAGAAAGTGAGGAAAGAGAGTTAAAACGTGAACCGCGAGCCGTTCCCTTCCCATGCACTACTTCTGCCCTCCCTGTGTGCAGCCCCATCCTGGATGAAGGCTTGCAGCCATCTCCAGCAGCTCGTTGGGCTGACGATGCATGTCTGAGTCTTCCCAGACCACTGGCATTAGCAGAAAGCACCAAAACCTAATTTTTTTCACCCCTCTGCCCACCCCACAGAGCTGCTTTCCTACCGCAGCCCCCCTGGGCATGTGCTCCCAGGTGGGACCGGGCTGTCTGCCAGGCAGGGTGGGATGGGGGGAGCTGCTCTAGCTCCCACCCGTGATGCTGTGCCTGGAGTGGGAGGTGAACCCCAGGGATACTCACACAACTGCGGGCAAGGAGCAGTCTCTGGGCGTCTCATAGAAACTCTGCACGTGTCAGATGAATTTCTCTGTGTACCTGAAGCAGCATTCAGTGGGCGTGAAGTGGGCTGTGAAGGGAAAGGAGAGATGCTGTGAACGCCCTTGGCAGCATTTTGTGACTAGTTGCATCGCCAGGCAATGACGCTGCAGGATACCAAACACGGCGCGGAGGCTGTGGAGCTTCTCAGCAGCTCCCACAGCATCCCACGCCAGGGATTTGTTTTCCTTCATGACAGCAAGCACAGGTCTGGGAAACGTGGGCGGTGGTGGGGAGGGGAATGGTGTGGGACCCAGCACCCCACCACCCACATTGCTGCAGATGCCCAAGTGCACGGTGAGGTCGGGGTACTCAGTCTGGGGATGAGGTTTTGGTGGTTTCCAAGGCGGGGCCACAACTGGCGAGGTGTTTTGGGAGGCTCCAAACAGCTGCACATGCTCCCCCCCCACAACAACCACTTGCCCATCCCACTGAGCCCTGGGGAACGGCTGCCAGACTCTCCTCCAAGCTCCAGCAGCATCACCCCAGCACTGGCTTTGCCAAGGCCCCCCCGAACCCTCTCCATCCTTCCCTGCACCCTGGCATGTGCTGCCCTGCCCCGACCAGGGGGTTGCTCCTCCTGCCAGCAGCACCATCCCCGCTCCCCGCTGGGGTTTCTTGCCTGACCTCCGCAATGGGACATCCCCAGTGGGGACTCCAAGCCCCAACCCACAGTGGTGGCCCACAAGGTGCCTTACCTGCGACATGATGGAGGGAGAAGGTGAGGAGCAGGGCGAGCAGGAGGACCATCCTTGCAGTGAGCATGGTGGTTGCGTGAAGGCTCTTGCTCCGTCCTGCTTCGTGCCACCCTGCCCCCTGCCCATGGCTTTGGCTCTCGCTGCACCGTAATTTATCCTCTGCATGCCACCCACTTTAACTGCTTTTCCAAAAAATTGTGGACGTATTCCAAGTACCTTCTTCCCTGGGACAAGGGGATTTCTGCAATTGTTTATACTGGAGGCACATCCAGCAGTGGGTGGCAGAGGCGGAGGAGCAGGGCAACCACTTCTGCTTTCTGCGGAAGAGCTTTGAGGCTGTGAGGGGCTTCCAGGAGGCTTTGGGGGAACTGAAATTTACCCAGGAAAGCAGATTAAAAACAGCTTTCTGTGAAGGCAAGACATCAAGTTAATGCTTGCCTATTTATTTCTAACAGGAGATACAACCCAAAATCTCTGAGCAGGAACAGGGCATCGATGGGTTTAGCTGGTTTGCCCGAGTCATCGAAGGTAAGTGACTAACGAGTCTCCTCCAAACCAGCCTCCCCAACCACCCTGGCCATACCAAGGGCACTGAGCTAGGCAGTGAAGCATGAGATGGGATGGGATGGCATGGCATGGCATGGGATGGCATCAGGCAGAAAAAAAACCACACTGGACTGAACTAGGAGGGATCCCAGAGCAGGGGGTAGCAGAAAGGCTTTTGGTGGGTTCAGGAGACTCTATATAAAGGGAAGAAATGGGGTAATGGCAGTGGGGTAACGGCAGTGGGGTATCTGGGTCTGATTCCAAGTCTGAGCCCAAGTGTTGCCTCTGCCTCCCACACCTGTGATGGGATTGTAATGAGAGGGGCAGAGGGATGGAAGCCTGTGGTCCTCAGTGCACAGACAGGTCATTTGTGGAGGGAGATGGGACAAACGCCACCACAACCCCAGGAGAGTCATCCCAGACCCCAGGGGCAGGTGGCACAGACCCCAACAGCAGCACCACAGAGCACTGATGGACATCAGCCCAGCTTCCATGCAGAGATCTGCTCCCTGGAAAGGCAAAATGCAGCTGTGGTCCGCCTGCAAGGGGTTGTGAGGACCCGGTGAGAACCCACGTGGAATGACGGTGAGTGGGAGCATGAGAGGGACCTGTCTATGGCTTGGGGCAAGCCGGGGCTTCTCAAAGGAGAAGAAAGGTGGAAACAGACTTCCTTGAAGATTATCTCCTGTTTGCACAACTTCTCTGGAAGGAGAAAGGAGAAAGAAACAAACCAAATGTACGACAACTCTGGTTTGGAAGATGTGATCTGCAGGACGTCAGGTCTGGTGGCCTGGCAGGGTGGACATGAGAGCTGAGCACAGCACCACTGGTTTCTAATGGCACTTTTCCCCAGGAAAGGGCTCTGCAGGAAGAAAACACTTGATACACAGCACCCGAGTCCCCTTCTACAGCCTCTGCATCCCCCCTGTCTCTCCCACCTTCCCCTTTCCAGCTCCTACCACGTCCTTGATGTGCAGACCCTCGAGCCCAGCAAGCCACCGGGGTCACATCACTTCGTAGACATCAGTTAAAAGCGAAGGGCTGCAGTTAAGGGGGGGGCGTTGAGCTTTAGAAATTAAAATGGGTAGGCATGAACAAAAAAAACCCGCAACAATGAAGAGAGAGGAAATATTCTCTGACTCATACAATGTTTTGGGTTTTGAGTTAGTAGTTGTAAAAATTAATAGTTTAACAGGGTACGCTGATCCTCTGCATGTGATAAATGCCAAAGAAAATGGAAGAGCACAAGGCACTTGCACACTGGGGATGCTGGTCTCTGATGCCACCAAAACCCTCTCCGGAGGAAGTCTTCCTCACCATCAACCATGGCCAACAAGGCAAACCTATAAGAATAACCGAATTTCATAAATTCACCAGAACCTTCTTGCCATGGCTAGGAATAACAGAATCGGAAAAGGTGATAGTAAATGCATTGAGGGAAATAGTATTACAAAGGCTATGGTAGATAGCAAAAAGACCTTACAAACAGAGATTAAATTTAGATGTCAAATGATGATAGAAAACCAGGTAGCATTAGGCAGTCTGTTAGGGGCCAAAGGAGGGGCTTGTGCTCTCATTTACATCAGTTAATGGTGTTTAACATTACCAGTTAACGGTGTTAATGGTTGTTTCTGTGTAGACCAAGACAAAAGCATAGAAAGAGATGTAATGACAATCCAAAGCCACCTAAACGTTTTTCATAAAATGAAGAAAAGCAAAAAAAACCAAAACCAAACCCCCACAACATTCTGATCGGTAGGGTTGGACACCAGACATCAGTGGCTGGGTTGGAAATGTACACAAAACATTGTACAAATCTATATGTATCAGGCTAATGGCTATAATAGTAATCAACATGTCTGTTCAATTAATTATTGGTTGTCATGAGACTATGTGTCTAACCTGAAGGCAATTACTCAGCCAGAGCTGATGGCAATGCAAACGCATGGGAGAGAAAAAGAAATTAAAGCAGATAAAACCCAACTCTTTAACATAGGGGTATAAAGGCTGCCCTGGGGTCCTGGAAGTGTCCCTGCCGCGTCCATTCTTTGGTTCCATGGATCCTGCTTGGAGGGGATTGTGGCGCAGGGGCATGGGGGGAGGGCCCAGTCCATTCCCTGTGGATCTGGAAACCGGAGGTCTCGTGGGCAACGAGGCAGTGGACAATTGGGGCTGTGAAGCCACTGCCAGTGAGGTGATGCCATCGTGTACATCAGAAACCCTCGGCAGAGGGTCTGGACCCAGGAGCGGAGAACGGCACCTGGCTGGGGCAGCGGTTGTGGGTCCTGTTGGCCAAGAAGGCCAATGGCATCCTGGCCTGTATCAGCAATGGTGTGGCCAGCAGGACCAGAGCAGTGATCGTCCCCCTGTACTGGGCCCTGGCGAGGCTGCACCTCGAGTGCTGTGTTCAGTTCTGGGCCCCTCACTATAAGAAGGACATTGAGGTGCTGGAGCGAGTCCAGAGAAGGGCAACGAAGGTGGTGAAGGGCCTGGAGCACAAGTCTGATGGGGAGCGGCTGAGGGAGCTGGGGGTGTTCGGTCTGGAGAAGAGGAGGCTGAGGGGAGACCTGATCGCTCTCTACAACCACCTGAAAGGAGGGTGTAGCCAAGTTGGAGCTGGCCTCTTCTGCCAGGCAACTCATGACAGGACAAGAGGGCATGGTCTGAAACTGCACCAGGGGAGGTTTATACTGGATATTAGGAAGAATTTCTTCACCAAAAGGGTTGTCAAGCATTGGAACAGGCTTGACATGATTGAGTCATCATCCCTGGAGGTGTGTAAGAAAAGACTGGATGTGGCACTGCACTTATTGCCATGGTCTAGTTGACATGGTGGTGTTAGGGCAAAGGTTGGACTCAATGACCCCAGAGGTCTCTTCCAACCTCATTGATTCTGTGATTCTATGAGGACGTCTGGGTAACCCAGGACCTGCTGTCTTGGGAGACCCCCACACAGCTGTCAGGAGAGGGCACCAAGACC